CCCAGCCTCCTGCTGAAGTCTGCCCACCCCTGCCCATTGCTGACTGAGGCAACCCCAGTGGGTTTTGCTGTAGTCAGCTTTTGGCTTTGCTTTGCTTGCAGCTTTCATGCAGCTCTGGCTGTGTCAGACCAGAAGGTTCTGATCAGTGGAGGCTGCAATGCCAAGGGAGCCCTGCAGGATGCCTTTGTCTTCCGCCTAGGTGAGTGACTCTCCCTTCCTGTTTCTGTAGCTGAAGGCAACTATTGGGCTGCAATGGTGTTTCAGAACACCTAGTCTGGTCCATTTGTTTCATCCCTTGTGCTAGGAATGGGCTTGTCAGTATTGATAGCCCCTTTCTACTTCAGATACTCTTTCATGGAGCACGGTGATCGACCACAACCTCTGCTCTGTGCCCCGAGCTGGCCACACATTGCTTGACCTGACTCCTGCCCACCTGATGGATGTGGACAAGGAGAACAGAGAGGCGCATAACCTGCATACGGTGTTGGTCTTTGGGGGCTCCAACTGTGCCGGGACCCTTTACAACAGCACAGTCAAGATCCAGCTGGACCTAGGGTAATGCAAAATACTCAGAATGAGCCTGGAACAGCAAGGGCTCTTCACCAGCCTGAATATAGACATGGATGGTAATAAATGAGTCCAAGCAATGTGGCAGTCCAAGTATCTATGTGTAGATGAATGCTACCTTGGCACAAGAGATCATGGGTTTGTGAAGTCTTTCTGAAGGCTGTGGGCATTGCCCTCTTAGAGTAGCTGATGTACAGCATCAGACTGGCAAAAATTCCCTCCCATATCCCTGTCTTGATACCCGGGCTTGGGTGCCAAAACATTCAGTGGGATCTGAGCTGAGCCTGCACAGGAACACAGTCCCAGGCTTCGGAGTTTCCCTTCTTGCCCTACAGGTTTCTGGGTTGGAATTCCCAGGGTGCTTTCAGTTCTGAAGGTGACTCAGGTCTTGGGTTTTATTTGGGATAAGTGGAATGGGATTTACTCCTGCTGCTTGGAAGGCCCTCACAGTGAAAAAAGTGCAGGCATGATTCTGGTTTGGAGGGAATCTGGGGTGGGATTCTCTTGGGTAATAGTCTGCAGCTGAGGATTACAAAAACACTTAAAGCAGTGTCCGAGGATGGGAGAAGGAAGAGAATGCTTCATTTTCAGCGTATGGGAGCGAGCTGGTTATGTCTTGCTGACTATGGCACAACCACCTAGCTTTGCTCTACACAGATCTTTATTATAAATTCTGCAAGACTGCTGCTAGACATAAGGAAGGGGTACAAATTGGCTGTCCCAGGTAGTAATCCTCTTGTCATTGCAAAGGGTGGCAGAGTTGCTGACTGTTGGCTCTTGCAAGACCTGCAGGACCCAACAAAGGTAGGGATTAACCTGTCTTCTGCCAGAGACTCTTACTGTTTATAGCCATGACACTGATATTATGCCATAGCTCTGAGGCAGCTGCAAGGACGAGCGGGACTGCTAGGTTAGTAAGCACTCTGTGTACACTCGTTCCCTGATGCTCTCTCTGTAGGTGGCAGAAAGAAGCAACCCCAGAATTGGCTCAATGCCTCACAGTTGTTTGTGGCCACATTCCCAAGCCCAAAGTCATACAAAGGGGACTTCTGATAATTATGGATGCATCTGCTTTAATCGGCTTCATGGAGATACATCAGATAGAAAAAACATAGAAGTAGCTGCAAGCTTTCCAGCACTGGCATGGCTCCTGTAAGCTATCCAGGCTACTTCCAGGTCCTCTGTCCTTCTTCCCACCCAGATGAAAGTGAGACAAAAGTACTAGGACTTCCGCTGGTACTGAAGTTCCACTCAAGCTGTAGCTGTTGTCCCTTTTGACACTCCAGCTTACTTCACTTAATGAGTAGAAGGGCTTCAAGCTCGCAGCTCTGCAGGAGTGTCTGGCTGCCGGGATGGGTGGCTTACTTTGAATGCCTCTAAATCCAGGAGAGCTTTGTTAATTCTGATTATTGTGGGATATGGACCCATTTCCACTTTGAATCTGCAACAGGAAAAGAATTTGTGAGGTACTATGAGTCAGTGCAGCAGTGAGCAGAAGGGCAGAGCAGTGTGCTGTGCCTGCCCAGTGTGGGAGAGTCTCACAGGCTGGGGTACCTTTGCATTAAGAGAAAAGGTTCATCCTGGTAGGTTTAAAAAAAAAAATTCTAGAGGAAAGGTTAGTCAGTTCTTCCATCTTCACTAGGGTTTTACATAGCGTGCAGCACAGGGTAAGAAGGCACTATGCTTTTCCTAGGAATCATGCAGCCGCAACTTGCACGGGTTTAAGGCTTTCAGTAGATATAGTCAGATTAATCTTTCCCCCCTGTGTGCAGTGTAAATATAGGGCAAACAGGGAGAGAGGATGTGGAGTACGGGCAACCTTAGTTTTTCTAAGGTTTCCTCTCCCTTGAGAAGAGAGGACAGCTCCTTATTTCCAAGAGCTTCCAAAAGAGACTGTATTTATGACATAGGAAAACTCATGCAGAGAATAATCCATAGCTGTATAGGGCAGGCAGGAGGGATGCTTTCCTAACAGGCACAAGGAACAGCAGAAGGTAAGCTCTGACAGCCCAGCACAAGGAGTAGGTGCCCTTGAAGAGTGCCTCAAGCTTAACCGTAATTACCTTTCAGCATTGGAAACTTGAGGCACCAAGCACAGATCAGCCATGGACACCTGCAAATGTAGCAGAGAAAAGGGGTCAGAGTAACTCTGAGCCTGTCCCATCATGCTTCACTGTGGTGGAAGGCTTTGAGAGCAGGATAGGAATTATTTTATCAGCCAGTACAGAGGTGTTGTCATGACAATCTCATTCTTTAATCCAGCATTAATAATACAACAATGGTACAAGGAAAGGAACTTCATAGCAGTCACTAGTAGAAGAAGCCATCAGCCCTTAGGGAGCTTCATATTTACCAGCTGATCATGACAACCTCAAAGACACAGTGCTTCTATGGCAGCTGCCTCTGAGCAAACAAGTTTGCTGGCAAGCTGCAGAGGGAGGCGATGGAGAGAGGGGGAAGTTTGCATGGCTAGGAAAAGGTGACTAAATTTTGCTTGTTTGCATTGCAGGAGTATCAAGCAGCTCCTACCAATGTCAAGACCTGATATGTGATAAGGCCTTTGCATATAGGCTCAGGGACTCGCAATCTGAAAAGAAGACTCAAGGACAATACGTCCAGCAGCCCATCCGCACAGAGGCAGCTGCCCCCACCCTGCTCCCCAAGTCACAAAGCCCTGGGTGTCTTTCAGACCACACGTTATTCTCCAGCATAAGATCTCATAACTAGCCTTTGCCCAGCAAGGGCTCCTGTTCCATGAGGCTCCTACTAGACAATCCTCTCCATCACAGGATATTGCAGGAGCCTCCCTTTTTTTCTCAGGCTTTTATAGAAAAGACCCAATTGCCTGCTAAACAGGACTACTAAATGGAAGAGGCCTGAGTGGCCTCTGGATTGGTAAGGGCCAGAACAGTTTGTATGTGAGGTCTCTGAAATCCATCCATGTGAAAATTGGACAAACAGAGCAGAAAAATACAACTTGGTTAAAAGTTCCACACAGCTGAGCTAAGAACTGAACCTGTGTTTCTTGAGCCAAGCTTTGCCCCTATGACAGGACACTTTGAACTCCAAATCTCTTAAAGATGAAATATATATAATCTGTTTCCACATCCTCTAGTAGCAGCCAGATCCTAGACAGAGCTGCAGAATCTGGCCATCAGCAGGTTATAGGCAGGGACAAGTAAACATTTCTGCAGCTGTTTGCAATTCAATAATGGCCTAAGTAGGATCCATGCAGCTGTTTTTCTTATGGTGAAGGCACTGCATATAACTCTAGGCACAGGATGGGGTTGTGCTCTGTCTCCACAACTAATTTCCATTCCTATTTTATGGAATATACTGGGGTTTTCAGTTCTCTGATGGTATGCAATGCTCTCTCAGATACTTACTTCATCCCCCACACAGTAGCGCCCAGCAGTGTGCTGCAGAATCTGCTCCAGTGCTGTGAAGAGAGGTGGTACACTGGAGTGAGGCATTGGAAACTCATTTGAAAGGGATACCAAAGACCTTTTAGACTGGGAATTATGAATAAAGGCATTTTGACCCTGAGCTGAGTATGAAAAAGGAACAACTTGGGACAGAACCTAGAAGGAACAGAAATCTTACAACAGTGTAGTTACGGGAGTCTTTAGGGTCCTTCAGTTTTTTGGGACCCAGGGTGATTTCAGCTGCTTCGGGCAATGCACCTGAAATACTAAGAGGAAAATGTAGAGATATGTGAGTGGGGAGGGGGAGAATGCAAAGGTTCAGTCAGTTTGCGTCTGCCCAGAAGTGAAAATGGGCCTGCCTGCCATTCCAATACATGGGGGAGAGGGTTTTCAGGAAACAAAAAGCACCCTATTTCTTCCAGGGAGGTAAAGAAATGCTTTGCTTCTTGCTAGATTCTGTGGGAGTTTGCCATCAGGTATCTTTTGTCTGATTACAAAAGTATATAAATATAGATTGATAGAACTTTAAAGCAAAAGGCACTAGTTTGGGAGCAGCTGGGTGGAAAGGAGATGTGCTGTCAGCCCTCATGCTTCAGGGTGAATCAGCTGCTGCGGTGTACAGGATGGCCCCAGGCTTCCCCTCTTCCATGCCCAGCAGTGGAAGCACCCTGTGGACAGCATCTTTCCTCTGAGACCCTGGAGCGCTACCAGTCCTGGACAAGGGACTCTGGGCAGGAAGAGCACTCTCTCTGCCAGCAGGGCAGGACCCCAGCACACCAGCCTAGGGAGATCCATTGTTCTGCTTGAGGAAAGTAGGTCCCCAGCGGTGCAGTGTTTTGAAGGGTCAGTCTAAGTGCTGATCATTTTGGATGTGGGACGCACCTTGAAAGCCAGATGCAATGCAGGTCTGAGCCCATTCCATTTTCTTTTCCCCCATTTGTTTCAGGACTTTCAGGTTCTGTGAAAGCAAGCAATCTCCAGGTTAGATTGACTGCTGCTGGCTGGATCTTGCCCACTGCCTCATCCAATGGAGGAGAGGGGAGATGAGGAGTTGCCAAGCCTGAACCCCCAGCCCGAGCTGAGCCTGCTGGGTCAGCCCTGACCCTACCCTCACTGAATCATGCACCCTGCTGTATCTCTCCCCGGACTCTCCTGTAACAGCTGCCAGGGTCTCCCTTTGCCTCTGCCATTTGCGTTGCTCAATTTTCTTCTTCCTAAAATATCCTAGACCCAGCAGTGAGGTCATATGGGTTCAGCTGTTTCTGCAAAGGACCCTGGTGTGCTATAGGATTTTCTTTGTAGGAAATACTGTATTGCTACCATTGGCAGATCAGGCAGAGGCTAAACAGAGATTTAATCTCCTAACACACAGTCTTGAGGTCTGCCACTCTGTTGACTGGCAACAATTTAGAGACTGAGCTTTTCAGAGATACAGACTCCTGGAAACCCATCCCATATCTCATTTGCATGGATGTGATAAGGCAGTACCTGGAGTGGCTGAATGCCGGAGGCAATATGATCGGCGATCATTCTGACTTGGGCTCTCTTCTTTGGATCTTGGGGCAGGAGCCTGGGGTTAGGATGGGTATCTTCTAGGTACTGAATTATAGCTAGCTGTAATGAACAAGAGATAAGGGGAGGTTATTGGAGAGCCAAGGAGTTCACATCCTGAACACCTGGGAAAGGGGAGCTGATCCAAGAGAATACAACAGCTTTTTAATGAAGTTTGTTACCAATCCAAGCAACACAGTATCCCCTTTGATGCCTGCTTGGGACCTTGTTGTCATTTAGCCCAGCTGTAATTTCAGGCAAAGCCTGGTGCAGCCATCTATGTCAGACTACAAAATGCTCAGTGAAAGGTGGAGTTATGAACCAAAGCTGAATTGATCTTAAAACCTTAGCAGCAGTTTCCCAGCAGAGGCTACGTGCTATTTCTGCCCTGAAGTGGGATTGTTTATCACAAATGCCATCTCTTTTCCAATGCACGGATGAGAGCTCTGGGGGAAAAGATGGAGCAAAGCCATCCCCTCCAGACTGGGCAGCAGGCTGAAGTGAATGGTTAACAGAGATGTGGCCGGTAACTCACCGACTGAGAAAGGGTGATGCCATCAATTTTCAAGACTGGGACTTGCTGCATTGGATTCAATGCCTTGAATTCAGCAGAAAACTGTGGAAACAAACCTGAGATTACGGCAACAAGAAATTCTTCTTCCTTGTTTTCCTCCCCTAGAACGCAGTTACCAAATTATTTTTTTACCTGGCTTTTCCCTCTACCTCAGTGCTAATATTTGCAGTAAATTATGCTGTACTATTAGCCTACAGCAAGCTCTCACTGGGGCTCAGGGATCACTGCATCCAAGGCCAGACTGCCTTACCTCTGGATAAACCGTCAATACAAAGCCCAGGGTGGGTGGTACTGCAGCAGTGTCACTATCTCTGTTCTAGTTCTCCAACTCGTCTTAGCCAGTAGTACTACTAGGTGCACAACTCCCCACTATGGCCCCCCAGATAAGTTCTCAGTGAAGATCTCTTCTGGCAACCAACCCCTTCCTTTGGCAGGCCCTTTGCAGCCCCTTGCTATATCATTTAACATCTTTTGGACATGGACACACACACTTTGTAGTGCTAACTGAATGAGGTCGAGCCTGTGTTTGAATTGCTGGGCAGCTTCTCTGAAGTCTGTGCACTACATATGTTCAGTTATATCATGCTAAAAGATCCTCAGCCTTATGAAATTCAGTCACAGATGTTTAAGAGAGGAAAAAACTTTTAGTCTCCTGCAGTCATCTTTCTCCCCGTCTTGCATGCCAGGGAACACTGCCTGAAAGCAACTATTAATTACAGAGAAGCAGTGAGGAATTCAGTGACTTTGCCTGTGAACTTCCTAGTGCTAATCCCAGTTCTCCCAATGATCCCCAAGTTCAGTACCCCTGGAGAGAGCAATGGTAGCTGTATCCTTACCTGCTGCCCCCCGTCGTTCAGGAGGCTCACTGGCACCAGGTCATAGGAAATCCCTTTCAGAGCCAGTGCTAGGGAGAAGAGAGCATACAGTTTCAGACAGGCACACTGAGACCAGTTTTATTGGGAAATGCTACCATCACCATTTGAAAAAAGAATCGTTTTAAAACCAAAAAGGACCCTATCCCTCAAGAAAGGTGTCCTGAGTCCACCGAGAAGATAGTGCTCTGGCAAGCGAAAGACAGAAGCATTAAAGATCAGTCCTGGCAAAACCACTGCATTTTTCAAAATAAGCTTTGCCACTCTTTGCAGCGCAGCCCCTCCTGATTTGGCTTACACAGGGCAGGGGGCCCTGTGCTCACCTGAAAAACCTTGCTTAAGGCTGTCTCGGTACAAGTAGGGATGATTCTCAGCTCTGCTTAGCTCTCAGGACCTGGGCAGACCAGAGTCTGAGGCAGTGTCCACGTAAAAACAGAGCGTAGGGCCCCTCTAGACAGTGTGGAAGAAACAGCCATCTGCATCATGTTAGCTTTACAAAAGCAGTAATTCCCTCTAACTAGCTGCAGGCTGAGCAAAACCCTCCTGTCTGTTCCTCTCCCTTCCCCCTGCTCCAGGTAAGCTCCCTTCCCCTCCACTGGGGAAATGCCTCACTGTTCCAGGTTCGTGTTTGCTGATCTCTCCCTTAATAGGTGACTGATTAATCAGGTTAGTGAAGGGGAGGATACTGCAATAACACCAAGACAATAAAAGAGGTCAATACTGGATCTTACCGATTCTCACTCTCCAAGAGCAGGAACTCCGGAAATAGCCATAAAGTATCGGCTGAGAAGAGAAAGAGGGATAAAGTGGGTTGTACGGTGGGAACACCAGAGTGTTGTAAGAACCATGCATTAACAGAAGGCATTTCAGGAACTGTAAGACAGGGAAGAGCGACATTTTGGGGAGAGAGGGCTCCTTTCTGAAAGTGACTGTTCCTGGGCATACAGGTAGTATCCCTGTCTTTCATGCTCACCCTCTGAATATTTAGTTGCACCTGATGTTTCCAGCAACGCACAAGTGACCTTAAAATTATCCCCTACAAAGCTTCCCTCTTTGTCCCTATCAGATGTTGCTAACTTCCATCCCATCTTAGATCTTTGAAACAAATTCCCCACTGATTGTACCAAACACCTGCACTGGGTATTTGCGTGGCACAAAATAGCTTTTCCAACCATGCAGGGCAGTGCCAGGCCTCTTTCCAAACAAGAAGAGCTGCTGCTGTTTGAGATGAAGGCCAAGAGGGCAGACAATTCATCTCCACCTGAACTCTAGCAAGGAGACACCCTTCCTGGACGCTTCCACCCTGTCCAAGCTCTCACCTTTTCAGATGCCATGGTCAGTGTGTGCAATCTACTCCAGGAAATAAAACCAGTCTTCGCTTTCCCTTTTAACTCAGCTGGGATGGGGGAAGGCTTCTCTCTTAAAGCCAATGAGAAAAGGACTATGCCCCCAAATCTGTGCCCAGGACACAACCACCAGCCAGTCAGATTCAATCTTGAGCAACTGCAGTCAGCTACATCCGCATCCCCGTGCTGCAGCCCCAGCCCTGATACCAGAACCATTTACCAGCTTTTTTTTTGAGGTTGGAAGCACATTTAGGAACCATCCTTATTTCCCTAGCTTTTTGTCCAGAGATAAATAAGATATCTAGAGCACCTGTCAGGCTTGCAGCAGTTGCCAGTGCAGAAATATAGCCCTGGGGAACAAGACAAGGAAACAGAAGCCATATGCAGAATTTCTGTTTCACTAGGTAATGGCTGCCAGCTCCCTGAAGAGGGGCTGCCTTTGCGGGAAGGTCCCTTAGGGTCCTCCTGTAGCCCTCTTCCCATCAGTACCAGCCAGTGCAGAGGGTTTTCTAACTTCAGGCCTGGGGCAGGCTGCTACTTGGCTCCCGGGACAACTTTGTACAAAATATGAAGCTTGCTTTTTTGTGTTACGGTCTTTTCTTTCCGCACAGGGAATTGGTACTCATGCATGTCTCTAAATAAACCCGTACTCGTGTCTCTCCTTCCTTCCATAGATCCCATGGCATGCCAGGGATCTCTCTGTGTCTCCACCCTCACAAAATGCATAGAAATTATACCGGAGACTGACAGCAAGGCAGAAAAAGGCTGGGATTTGCTCACTGACACACAGTCTGTCAACAGAAAACCAGACAGACCCCGAGGATCTCTGTGCTCCGGTCCTCTTTGTAAACATGATGCTTCTCTTACAGTTTAGACTGGTTCAAATAACTTTAAATGAGGTATGCATTTGATTAAATTACTCTAGTCAAAGTTTACTGGGGGAGTGGTTTATAACTGAAGAGGGAAGTGATGGCAGTATTGGCAACACTTCTGTGGACAAAGTATTTACTGATTTTCTTAAATTCTCTGCTTCTGGAAACAGGGCATTAGAAATCTCAGCTACATTTTTTTTTTCCAAATGCCTAGGCTGTTCGGTTCCTGGGAAAGAAAGAGAAACTATGGCTTCAAAAGGGAAAGATACAGCATTCATGACATACTATTTTTACTTGTTTTTCCTGGGGACCTTACTGATGATTTTTTGGCTCAGAAGTTCATGCCCTTCACCGTGTCTGATTTGGACTCCAGCCTCTCAGCTGGCAGAGGCATTTCTCCTGATCCTTTCTACAGTTCTTTGTTGCTTTTGCAGCCTGTACTATCATTTGTAATAAATTGTGCTAAGCTAATTGCTTTGCTCTATAATTTCAAGGCCCTGGGGGATTTGACCAAAAATAATGTGGAAAACAAGCCATCCCTCAGCTGGGAACTGTGTCTCCAGAGCCTGGAGCCTGGAGCGATCTCTTAAGTTCATGCTGTTTTGCTCCCAGCGGCAGGGCAGATCACAGGCAAAACAATCAGCTAAGCAAAGACTAGAGACAGCAGGAGTGTTTTGTCCTCACTGGACAGGTCCCGGAGTGACCCTATCTCTAGTCTGCCTCAGAGGAAGAGCTGAGCAGGGGGCGGGGAAGAACTGCCTCCATGTACAACCCCGTGGGGTAGAGTCCCCATGAGCTGCAGGTTAGACCGGTTGGAGCTGGGAGGATAGGAAGAGGACAACATTTGCTCAATGTCTATTGAGATTTCTGGTTTGGTTCTGTTTTCCTTTCCAGCATTAGTGGTGCAGTGAGGAAAGTTTGGGCTTAAATCCCAATCCAGAGTAAAAATCTGGGAAATGCATTTCACTGTTCAGGAAGATGGAAGAGGCACCCCAGAAGTTGTGTGTTGAGCTCTCAGGTTTCCAAGCCTGTCCGCTTCAGTATGGTCTCCTCTGGATACCATCTCTTTCCAGACTATATTTGGGATGCACGTGGAAAGGCAAAGTCTTTCACCTGTTTCTTGAGACCCATCGCTCCAAGCAGCCTGCACACACGTACTGATGCAGAGCAGCCACGCATGTGGGACATGAGAGAGAAGACTGCTCCTTGGAGGCTTGCGTAGGGGAAACCTCGGTGTCTGAAAGGCACCGCTTGTATTCTGCCGAGTTAAAATGTAAAGGTATAAATAAGCAGAAAGAACAGGTTTGCTCCTAAACTCAGTGCCTCTGCAGCAGGCGTTGGTGCTAACAGCTCACACGGATGAACTCTCTTAACCACCACCACTGCTTTGAAAGGCATTACTTTTATTTAGCATGGGGGCAAATTCCTTGCTCTTCACTGAGACAGAGACGCGGGCGCCGGCCAGGGCAGCGATCTGTGTGAGAGACGCTGCGCAGGGGGGTGCAGGCCTCTCGGGAACCACCGTCCCGGCCTTCCCGGGGAGTCGGCGGCACCGGGGGCCGGTTTAGGCCGCGACCCCA